GGCGACGGTGATAGTGGTGGAGGTGGTGGTAACAGCAGCGGCTACAACAGTGGCGATGGTGATGGTAGTAGTGGTGGTGGTGGTGGTGGTAAAGGTAGTAGTGAAGCGGTTTCAAATACTATTTTTTTTAAAGTAGACAAGGAGTATTATTGGACCAAAGGTTCATTGGTATGTTATTTTACTATCAACTACTGCTTTGATAATCTAATTTGAGTATAATTTAGGACTTTAAGAGAATGTGATGAGTCTTATTCACTGTTTAGATTCAAATTTTTATTTATTTACTTCTCAATTTTGATTTTCCATGGTCTTGATGCCTAAGATTAATTTTTGCAACTATACGCAAATTCTACCTGTTAATTATATTTTTATTCACTTCTATTAAGGTTTAATCCATTTTTTGGTCTTCAATTGTCAAATATTTTATTGTGAGATTGTAATTTTTTTTCAATCCAAAGGCAATTTGAGGTGAGAAACTCTATATTGTTGATGAGAATTTTAGTAATGTTTCGTTTGGTACGATAGAAAAATAAAAGAATGAAAAGTTGGAAGGATAAAAAATTAGAAAGATAGATAAAACATCATGTTTGGTAAGGAATGAAAATAAAAATGATGAAAAAGTTGATGGATTAACTTTTCTTCCAACTCATCAAAATCAATCCCTTCAAAATTTGGAGAAAAGTGGATGAAACATTAATTATGTGTGTTGAAATGTATGTTATTTGTCTATATATAATTTGATATGTATACATATATCATATTTATGAACTAGTTTTTGAATGTGCTTAAAGGTACAAAATAATAAAAAATAGTAAACAATAAACATATTTGTATTCATATTCAAAATCAAATTACAAGCATAGAAGAGAGATAAATGAATTTAAGCATCAGTTGTAGTGGGGGTGATAGATGGTGGGCGGCATTGGTGGTGGTAGAAGACGATGATAGTTGTGGTAGGTGGCAATGACGGCGGCGGCGGCGAACTATCAAATTTTGTAGTGCTGTGAAGGAGCACATCAGATGAAGTTTGTAGTGTTGTGAACTATCAATTTTTGGTTTAAAACATTGGTAGTTGATAAAAGCTTTGTGTTGATGATGCGACCTAGTAAGTGGGCTCTTATTAGCTCACTACTTTTTTATCTCATTGCAAATTGAATCTCTTTTTGCCACTGTTCTACAGGATGCTATTCCCTGTTATATTCACCTTTTTCTTCACAAAAAAAAGGTATAAATTCTTTTGTGAGGGTGATATATAGCTACAGGAGCTTGGTTTTCTCACAATTTATCGCAACAATGACCACAATGGCAGCATTCACAGACATTTGCCAATGGTCAAGCTTTCATTGCCAGCCTTCTTTAATGGTGCCACGGATTACTTGCACCGGAAATTGGAATCATCATGGATTGTCAAGTAGTGAGTTATCATTTGTCTACTGATATGATAAATTTGTTTACTAATACATGAAACACAAAACCATAAACAAAATTTTCATTATGCTATCCAGGTTTCTCATGGAAACTTTTTTGCCCCGAATCAGCAAGTTTTAAATTCAGCTCCTCTCGCAGGCTTGTTGCACGCAGAAGCTATGTTCCTAAGAAAGGAATACAAGTTGTATCTCCAAATATAGGATCACAAACCTTGACAATTGAATTTCTGAATGCATGGGATGATGAATATGGAGGGGTCATTGTTGATCCAGAAAGCTTACCTTCGAGTGCAAATGCTTTTGCATCCACGTTAAAGGCTTCTATATCCAACTGGAAATTAAAGGTTTGATTCACCCTTGTTCCATTCTTGCATACAATACAATTACCCAGGGCATGAAGCTGTGCACATCCAAATTTGGCCATGCTCTTAACTCCCAAGTGAAATTTAAGAATTTACTGTGAGAGCAGCCATGAATTTATGATGATAACTGAGATTAATCTATATTTTTATTTATATTACTAATAAAAGTACCTTAGCATGAAATTTTTTTGATTTACCATTTTGTCCTTATAAAAAATTATAAAGTTTAACCTGTCCTTTTATATTTAAATATACAAATTACCATTATATCTTTATATATTTAAATAACAAACTAATCTTTAAATCATGTAAATTTCTCTATTTTTATAAAATTTTTGAATGATCGTGTTATGCTTAACATGATATATAAAAAAATATTATTCTTTTTTTTTCAAAACTTNCAAACTAATCTTTAAATCATGTAAATTTCTCTATTTTTATAAAATTTTTGAATGATCATGTTATGCTTAACATGATATATAAAAAAATATTATTCTTTTTTTTTCAAAACTCCAATATTAATATATTAATACACGTCTATAATTCTATTGATACAATATTATCTCCAATGTCAAAAAATGAATATATATATATATATATATATAGTTTTTCTCTTCATTCACAATCAAAAAGAATTTAGTAAAAAACTATTGAGGCACAAAATAAAAACAAGAAAGACAAAAAAGAAAATCGACACAAGAAAAATCTATAACTTTTACTAATCAGTAGTTTGAACGAAAAAATACAGAAAATGAGTTCAATTGATTTTTATAGTTATGAAGAAAATACAAATAATGNAAGAAAATCGACACAAGAAAAATCTATAACTTTTACTAATCAGTAGTTTGAACGAAAAAATACAGAAAATGAGTTCAATTGATTTTTATAGATATGAAGAAAATACAAATAATGTAAGTATAATAAATACGAGATAATATCTAATTTTGTTACATTATTAGATTTTTTTATGTGTTTTATCAAATGTTTTAGCAAACAAATTCACGTGCAACGTGATGTATTGCTAGTTGTAAAAAAATGAGTGCATGATGCATGTTGAACTATGAGTAAAAAGTTCATCCTGCTTGTTTTGCTTTTACTCATATATTTAGAGGAATCTTCTAAATAACATGTAAAACGGAGAAAAATTCTTGTAAAAACCTCCTTGAGTGAATTTTGGTGGCATCGCAACATGTTGAATCATTCCCTACAAAATCCTCCTAGACCGCAGGCAGAACCCACCGCCTTTTCAAATTATTTTCTGCGGTAAGTATCTGAATAAGTAGACTAATAAAGGTTTCTGAAATTCAGCATAATAGGTCACAATACACAAAGGTTTGATTTAGAAGATGTTTTTATTTGAAGTTTCTTAGTCATATAGGTCCATCATTTAGAATAGCAAGTGCAATGCAGGGGAAAAAGGGAATATGGCTGAAGATAACTCTAGAGCAAGCTGATCTTGTTCCAATAGCTATTCAGGTAACAGATCCACATCCACTGCATTATAGTTTTAATGACAGAAGAAAGTCTCTGTCATGTTGCTGTTCTACCCATGTTATTTTCCGGAAATGTGTTGGTACATTCAGCATATAAGTCTAGATCCCGAATGGGTCATTCTCGTTAACTTCTCTGTTCATTGATACTTAGGAGGGCTTCCTCTACCACCACGCCGAGCCAGGATATGTTATATTAACATACTGGATACCAAATGAGCCTTGCATGCTCCCTTCTAGCCCTTCACATCAGATAGGCATTGCAGCATTTGTCATAAATGATAAAAGAGAGGTAAACATATCACCACTACAAAGAAACGCCCCCTGGGCAGTTTAAATTTTCAAGTCAGATCTAATTCCATAGTTTCCTACATTATTCCATAAAATTACAAGCTAACTTCTCCTAACTATAATTGTTACTGCATTTAGATCCTTGTAGTGCAAGAAAAATGTCCTTGTAGCTGCCCAGGGGTATGGAAGTTGCCTACTGGTTATATTGACAAGGTGCTGTTTTCTCTACTTCTTAAGACGACTTCATTGTGATTATTATGTAAATTATTTCCATCGATTCTATCAATTATGATCAATCGAAAAAAAAGTATATAATTCCGAATAAAATCTCCTAGGAACCTTGCCATGTTAATAATTTCAACATTTTTCTTCTTCCTAGGAAAAAAAATGCCGATAATGTTTTCTCTTGGTTCATTTCAGTCTGAAGAGATATTTTCAGGAGCTATAAGAGAAGTGAAAGAAGAAACCGGGGTAGGAATGATTCAGATTCCATTGCTATGATCAGTTTACTGCCATTGTTGGTTTCATTTTTTATTCTCATGATCTGCAGGTAGACACAATTTTCCTAGAAATGGTTGCTTTCAGGTTTGGTTTTCTTTGGCCACTACAACCTCCAATGCAGAAAACAAATCATAGATATCATCACTTACTGTTAGAGATGGTAAATGTGCCGAACGAACGAGTTTTAGCTAGAGTCTGATGTGCTCGTTTTTCAAAACAAGTTTAAAAAAGTATTTAAGCTTAGCTCGTTTTCTAAACGAACGAGTCATTCGACTATTTTATATATAAATGAGTAAAATTTTGTGAACTCAAACTTAAAAAGAGCCTAAAAAATTATTCGATCTCGATTCGTTTCTAAACGAATAAACTTGAGTTCACCTCAAAATGAGCCGAATTTAAGCTGAACCAAATAGCTCGGATCGTTTACAACTCCTACCTACTACTGTTCAGTAAATCGAGAAAGTGAAATAAAAATCAAAAAAATTGTTGTATGTTTTCATTTGAGTTTTCAATTAGCAGATAATAAAAACCAAGCCTTAAATTTGTGTTTACATATTTGCTTATGGTTGCAACCTGCAGACATGCCCACCTTGTGGCTTTCGAAAAGTCAGACCTGCAGTTTGTGTGCTTGCTTAAGCCATTGTCCTTGGAGATCACAGTAGATGAGAAGGAGATTCAAGATGCAAAGGTTCCTAAGACTCGATATAATATTGATGAAGCATGATAACTTTCACATTTTTTTGGGGATAACGAGAAATTGTCCTAAATACATACATATAAGCCTCATATACATGCAATCGCAATCACCAACAAATCACATGCATCACTTAAACCCATGATTAATGATTTTATGAGTAGAATACGAATAAGGACATACGAGTTTACCTCTCATCTGACCACTCAACTAATTCGACATTTTCACTTGGCTTATCTATCAATGTTTTGGGTTACTGATTTTAATTTTGTGTTGTGTTTCTTCCAGTGGACTACTCTTGATGAACTAGTACAACAACCATTTTACCAGGAAGATCAGATGTCAAAAAGGGTGATCGAAATTTGCATGGAAGCATATGAAAATCATTACAATGGATTCATTGCTCATCAGCTGATCTCAAAATTTGATGGGAAACAGTCTTACTTGTATTACAAGGAGACAATGACAGAATAGTTTTTCTGTTTTTCACTCTCATTGAAAGGATCAAAATCTTCTCCGCTACAATTTCTAGTAGACACAAACTAATCAATGATCCAATTATCTATGAACCAAAAATCACTCTTTTATTATGTTGGACTCCCCACTCATTAACTAGTTAATGATCCAATTATTGGATTTACTAGTATTCTTACTGGGCTTAGTATTTTGAAGAGTCATCCTAATTCATGTTGTTAATGTTCTGATGTTCAAACAAGAGTTAGAATGTTGGTTTCACCTAATATTAATTAGACACTATACAGTATTGTCACACTAGAGAAGCGCGACGCCCCAGCCGTTGATTGGATAAATCGAAGTTCTCCTCTNAAGAGTCATCCTAATTCATGTTGTTAATGTTCTGATGTTCAAACAAGAGTTAGAATGCTGGTTTCACCTAATATTAATTAGACACTATACAGTATTGTCACACTAGAGAAGTGCGACGCCCCAGCCGTTGATTGGATAAATCGAAGTTCTCCTCTGATCAACTATCCACCTAGTGTAGTACAAAAAATATTAGTGTACTTCTTGCTCGCGAGGGCAATAGGAGCCGTTAAAATGGCAAAAAATAAATGATTGTTGCTCAACGAACATTAATTATTCCTCGATTTTTTGAGATTTCTTCTCCATCTCTCGACTCTCTCTTAAGGAAGAACCTTCCACCTTAGTTAGATAAAAAAACTATTGATTCAAAGTCACTTTTGGTGATAAATTTTTCTCCCTGTCCTGCATTTCACGTGGGTGGGCCCAAGTCGTCGGCTTGTGGGCCGTATTGGCCCTATACAGACCATTAATTAAGTCAAACAAATAAAAGTTAGAAAGCGTGCACCAACCAAAAGGGGCCCACCGCTCATGCATGAATCTTCTGATTTTTTGCTTCTTTTCTATGTTTTTTCAACTCGCTGTGCGGTGAAAACGTCACTTAATCCCCGTGGTTTTGTGACCTGATCTCTCCGCTCTAGAAAGTGACTTCTTCTTTCTCTCTTTTTAGTTTATTGGTAAGAGTGTCTANCCGTGGTTTTGTGACCTGATCTCTCCGCTCTAGAAAGTGACTTCTTCTTTCTCTCTTTTTAGTTTATTGGTAAGAGTGTCTATGTCAATTTAAACATAATTTAACTAATTTTTTATTCATTTCGATTAAATATAGATCATTTACGCCGAAAATCTCAAAAAATTATTAAAATTTAAATGTAGAATATTTTGATTTATAATTCATTCATTTTACTAATTGAACTACCACTCCACCTATTTATAGAGGAATAACTTCACTGGTTGCGTCATGCCAAAATTAAAACTACTAAAAGAAAAAATTAAAAAAAAAAGTCTTTTCTTTCCCGTGCGAGAATAAAAAATAAAGAAGAAATTGCTATCTCAGTGTAATTTATCTACTTATTATTTTTTAATCCCTAAACCAAATTTATNCCGTGCGAGAATAAAAAATAAAGAAGAAATTGCTATCTCAGTGTAATTTATCTACTTATTATTTTTTAATCCCTAAACCAAATTTATAAAAAAAAATCCTATTTTCTTAACAATGTTTACTAATGGATATATTATGCTCATTACAGGTTTAATTCGAAAAAACATCCATATATCATAAGAGCAACTCTACGGAGGTGGCAAACCCATATACTACCCCAAATTCAAAATTTTGGACTTCAAGGGAGATGGTATATGGGGTTGAAAAATAGCATCAAAGCTCTTGGAGTGATATTTTTGACAACTCTGAAAAGAGAAAGAGAGAGAAAGAGAAAGGTTGCAAATGAGTTGATTAATATAAATCTGTTAAACAAATATAAATCAAACGATTCATATAAATTAATAAATAAAAATATGAAAATGACATCCAATTTTGACACCTGTCATCGGAGCAAATTTATAATTTAAAGATACCAAAATACTGTTCAAAATTACAAATAAATAATTTAACACTCCAAAATGACAACTCTCTTTCCGGTTGATCTAACCACTACCAACCTCACAATTGGAAAAGGACTCCTGTCCAGGCATGAGGGGCCATTGATTCTTACATTTTAGAAGTTTTTTTTTTAAAAAAAATTTACCCATAAATTTAATTTTGTCCTCCTTAAAATTTTATTATATTTATGCAATCTCTACTTTTATTTTTTTAATTATGTTATTAGTTATGATTGGAGACTCGTATTTTTTTCACTCTTATTGAGAAAGTATTCAATATAATTATGAAAGTACGTTATTAATTTTACATAATATCGTCGTCCAATAAAAATATGACAAGCGAGCAACCGTTATATTAAATATTTACTCTATTATTATAATTAATTTTTTTTATTAATGCTATTTTTCTTGTGGCAAAAGAAACGGAGTTTAATTGCGTGTGTAATTGAAGAAGAAAAAACAACATAGGTGGCGAAAAGGGATTTTATAATGGTCGGAACTATCAGGCGGCGTCCCGAAAATTGGGAAAATGTTTATAAGGATGAATTGACTATTCTGTCCTTGAAAGGGCAAATTAGACCTTTGATTTTTGCAGCCACCATCTTAAAACCGTTTCATGCTTTCTAAGAGAATCGTTAAACAACGGCTTTAAAGATGGATATCCCAAGCATATTTTCAATTTCTTGGTCATAATTGATAGGATATCTATATAAGAAAATAATTTATATTTCAAATTTTAAAAATAAATAAAATAACTTCTATTTTTTACAACTCAGATCGCTTTTAAATTTTACTTTAAGGTTAATCTAACGGTTAATATTAACAATATAAATTTAACAGAAAAAATAAGCTCCTAAAGGTATGTTTGGAATGACTTTTTAAAAGTAATTTTATGAATTATTTCTCATAAGTACTTTAAAAAAAATAGTGTTTGAAACCGCCCCACTATTACCTCTACCACTATCACCCCCACCACCACCACCGCCACTGCCACCACCATCACTACCGCCGCAACCGCCACCATGGTCATTGTCACAACAAATATTACCGTTTTCTATCACCACCATTATCGTCCACCACCTCTCACCCCTACTACAATCGATGTTTAAATTCATTTATCTCTCATATATATTTGTGATTTGATTTTAGATATGAATACAAATATATTTATTGTTTATTATTTTTTATTACTCTGTGCCTTCAGACACATATAATAACTAATAATATAATATAATCACAGGAATTTGATAGCATACCGTCATTTATATTTTTTATGAATATTTTTATCATTTCTATGATGATTGAATTTATTATTTTTGTAATTTCTTTCGATTGATTCTAATATTTTAGGTTCGATCACAAATTACCACAGAAGTGATAAAAATATTCACAAATATTTTAAATTACTCGCAAAAGTTATAAATTTTTTTATTATAAAATGACTTTTAAAAATTATAAAAATAACTATTAAAATTATAAAATTTAAAGGTACAAGACCGATTTTTCTTTATACCATACATTTCTCCGATTTATGCAATCAATTATTAAAAATGATCCAAATTCAACCACCGATGACTCTTTGGCCACCCGAATTGTCCACACGTTCCAACCGTTCAGAAGCTGTAAAACATGGACAGTTTGATTTGATGAATCATGGCAATGTGTCGTCACTAAGCAGGCAGGCCCATAAAAGTCAAAGTAATTAACTTAATCACAACACAAGGTCATTTTTGACCCCCACACACATATAATAATATTCACAGAATCGAGAATCTCAATCGAAATTCCCAAAAAAACCCTCCTTTCCCTCCCTTTCCTCTGCTTCCCTTCTCCTTCCTTTTTCCACTTCCAACTTTCCGTCAACTGTTCTGCCCAAAAAGTTTCATTCAAAAAACAGCAAAAAGACCTGAGGAAAATTCACGCCACCCGTTTCTTTCCATCTAAACGTTGTCATAGAAATCTTAGGAAAATTAGAAAGCGTGGGCAAGGCTCTAGTTTTCACTTCTGTGGTCCTGGTCAAAACAATCTTCCATATGTGAGAACCCACATAATAATATATAAATATATGCACGCATAAAAGCAATGGTTATGTGTTTTTTTGAGCTTGTGAAATTCAAAGGTTTTTTGTGGGGTGGTGTTGAATGGATTTGATTAATAGTAAATCATCGATTTTGGGTTCGAAGTTACGTGGGTGTGGGGTTGATCGTTCGAATTCAAATTCAAAGGCGGTTGTTTTGGATTCAAGGAACGGGTTTGTGAAGTTCTTAAGTAATTCTTCACCAAGTGTAATGGAAAATAAAGGGAATTCTCAGCTGAAGATTGTTACCGGTGATGCTGGTTTTGTTCTCGAGGACGTTCCTCATTTGACTGATTACATTCCTGACCTTCCTGTACACACTCTCTCTCTCTGTCTCTCATCCGTGTGTGTATGTGGTGAATATAAGTTTGAATTTTCATATTTGTCTTTATAAGATTTTGTTTGATTTTGTGTTTTGATCAATCTCCCCCAGTTTGTTTTCTCTTTTTTCAAAAGTAGAAATGCTGAGTTTGGGGTCTTCAAAGCTAGCATCTGTGTATGTTTTATGGTATATGAACCATGAGTCCATGTAATTTGAAAACTTGTTTTTAGAAAAATTGCTTTGATTTTTCATATGTACTACTTTCCCCTGTCCCAGCTTCCCCATTTCTTCTGCCTTCTCAAAGGTTCAATTGCTGTTGTTTGTCTGCTTTTGTTGAACTACTATGTTTGTTTGTCTGATTGGAGAAATGAAGTGTGTCCTCGGTTTGGTTGCTGAGAAAACTGAAGGAAGGCCAAGAAAATATTTAATTCTCTTTTCCCACATTTTTGTTAGCAATTAAGTGGAGCATTGAGGTTTCCTTACTAGTCATGGTATTATTCAAGGTTGGTGAATGGTTTTACAGACAACCAACCGACGTATAGTTGCTCTGGTTGTTTGTTTAATGATAGGATGCTGGAATTGAAACGTATTTCAACGTCTATACAATCTTATAAGAACGGATTTTCGGTTTAATGTGTCACTCCTGATGTGTTTTTTTTTTTGGTTGTGGCAGACTTATCCCAACCCATTGCAAGACAATCCTGCATACTCTGTTGTTAAGTAAGTAACTGTGAATTTGCTCTAACAGTGTAGTAGAGAATTTTAACATTTGTTCTGGAATAATTTTCATTTGCACTGACTAATGAGATTAAACTTGTTTTCGCCAGGCAGTATTTTGTCAATGATGATGATACTGTAGCCCATAAGGTCAGCTATTTTTCTTCTTCTTTTTTTTTTCGTTTCCTTGCAGTTCATGGCGTGCCTTTCAGTTCATGCTGAAAGCATTTTCGTGAATTTCCCAGGTATTGGGAAATAGAAATCTTATAGCACCTGTCACTCTAGATTCAGTTGTTTTTTAATATGAATGCTAATGTGCCTGGACCTGGAGAGAGTCGGCCTGGACATTTATGCTACCATCACTTGGGTCTGGAGGGTACCAACAGATTAGATTATCAGATGAAGTTGGTGCCTGCATTTCCAAGGCCAGGCCTGGCTTCCCTCTGTTCCAGCGAAAAGAGGGGAGATTGTTAATGATGAGTCTTCAACAACTGGAATTTTTCATGAGGTTGAGGTAGTAAGTATATAGGTCACTACAAAAAGAAGTATGTCACCAATATCTTTTGTTTTTGTGCGTGTTTAATATCGTTCTTGCCTTCACTGCAGATTGTTGTTCACAAGAATAGTCCAAGAGGTACTCATTTTCGACGTGCTGGACCCCGTCAAAAGGTAAGTTTTAATGCGGTCTACATTTGAAAGTTGGAAGGACTAGTTAAACTGTGCTTGACATTAACAAGCTTTGTTGGATTTTTTTTTCAGGTTTATTTCGAGTCTGATGAAGTGCGCGCATGTATTGTTACATGTGGGGGCTTATGCCCTGGTATCAATACTGTGATCAGGGAAATAGTATGTGGTCTGCACCATATGTATGGCGTTACGAGAGTCCTGGGGATAGAGGTAAGTGAATAGTTCTTGACATCCTGCTGTTCAATATGAGTCAAGCATTCTGTCCACTTCCTTGTCTTGCTTCTGGCACAGCTCAACTTTGCCAGCTTCTGCCTGAATCTCTAGTGAGATAAAATAGAAATTTCTGCTTGGATTTCCTTGATAAAGATTGAGTGGCGGGAAACTTAGGAAATGCTTACCTGGCCATTAGGAACATTTTTTTGAATTTGAAAGCAAGAAGTGTGAATCCAATTGAACTCTAAGAGGAAGGAAAAAATTTCCAAAATGTATTTTGAAATTGTTTCCGAGGGAAATTTTGGTTTCTTACGTTTTCTTCTCTTGTACGTATTGCATAAAAAAATTTGTGCTAAAATATTCAAAGAATCCAGGCACCAAGGAAACTGCTGATACAAGCATCAGTTGTGTTGTTTTGCTTCCAACGGTAGCATTGCCTTTCGCTGTGATTGAAGCATAATAGTTTCAAGTATTAACTGGTACTTGTTCTAGACAATAGCTTAGGGACTTCCATCAAATGCACTTGATAGCTGTAAACATTATTTGTTTTCTTTTGGCTTGCATGGCATAACTAGGTATGCTTTCTAACTTGTATGTTAGAAAACATGTAGTTTTTGTTTCTCTATGTTTTTCATTGTTTATTTTAGTGTCGGTAAATATTTTATATCCTCTCACATAACTAAAGATAAGCCCATGCATATTGCCTTTCTTTTTTAATAGCTCAACATAAGAGTTTATGTGGTGGCATCACCAGCTAATGAGATTGGTGGATCTGTAGGGAGGATACCGTGGTTTTTATTCTAGAAATACAATCACTTTAACGCCCAAGGTTGTGAACGATATCCATAAACGTGGTGGAACCACACTTGGCACATCACGAGGGGGTCATAATACGAAAAAAATAGTTGACAGCATTCAGGACAGGGGAATTAATCAGGTATGCGCAAGAAAGATGTCTTAATTATAATTTAAGACCTCATTTATAAGCATTTGTTCTCTTGCATAGAGAACCAGTGTGATTGATTACTAATCCATATGCATTTTGGTATTTAGGTTTATATAATTGGAGGAGATGGGACGCAGCAAGGAGCAGCTGTGATTTTTGAGGTACATTTGGTTTGATGAAAAAAATTTGTCACTAGTTTTAGTGTTTGTATAATCTGCATGTGAGTTGATAAGGTTCTTCACTTTCCCATTTTTTGGGATCTTAAATGCACAATTTCTTATTGAAAGTATAGTATTACTTGCAATTGTGATATACAAGTTATATTATCCTCCATTCTGCAGGAAATTAGAAGACGAGGTCTCAAAGTTGCAGTTGGTGGGATCCCCAAAACTGTTGATAATGATATTCCAGTAATTTTTTCAGGCGCTATGGCTCAAATTATTTTCTATCTGATATTATCATTGATTATAACAAAGCTTCAGTGTTGACTAGGGTGTTCTTTCTCTTCTTTTTGCAGGTTATTGACAAGTCTTTTGGCTTTGATACTGCCGTTGAGGAAGCTCAACGTGCTATTAATGCAGCCCATGTTGAAGCTACAAGTTGTGATAATTGTATCGGTCTGGTGAAGTTAATGGGTCGCTACAGTGGTAAGTTTCACACCACTACTTGGTACTCTTCTGTTTTTGTGTCTGGGGAACGTGTGAGTCGTTTTCATCTTGCCACCTGCACGTCATTGTTGTATACTACTATGTGAGTGCATGGAAAAACCTGGTGTAGCTGTAAGTTGTATAGAGCAATTGTTTGAGCATTGTTGAAGTGGCTGAAGCTCCACAGCTGGTTGAAATAGATGTCTTATGTAAAATGTGAATTCTGTTTTCTTAGCTATTGTTGAATTTCGCCCTGCTCCTATGATTTATTTAAAAATGAACTTGATTTTACAGGGTTTATCGCAATGTATGCAACTCTTGCCAGCCGAGATGTTGACTGTTGCTTGATTCCAGAATCACCCTTTTATCTTGAAGGAGCAGGTGGACTTTTTGAATATATAGAGAAACGACTCAAAGAAAATGGTCACATGGTTATTGTCATAGCTGAAGGTGCAGGACAGGAGCTTCTTTGTGAGAGCTTGCGGTCTACTGATCAGAAGGATGCTTCTGGAAATAAGCTTCTCCAGGATGTTGGGTTGTGGATATCTCAGAGGATCAAGGTATGAGTTCAGATGCCCTTATTGGTTTCAATCCTACCTATATCACACTATTTTTAGAAATCATTAGGAATCCAATGTTCGAATCCACATTAAAATCATTGAAGGTAAATCTGTGCATTTTATTTGCAGGATTATTTCTCAAAACAAACGAAGATGGCCATCAATCTCAAATATATAGGTTGGTAATTTGCAGTTTATTTGATATATATAACAAAATATCAAATAATTTGGGGATGGATGGATGGATGTCCTAACCAAGTGTTGCACATTCATTTTTTGTGTTCTTGGCAGATCCTACATACATGATCCGGGCTGTTCCTAGCATTGCATCTGATAACGTGTACTGCACACTCCTTGCTCAAAGTGCTGTTCATGGAGCAATGGCAGGCTACACAGGGTTTACAGTTGGGCCAGTCAATGGCAGACATGCTTACATACCGTTCAATGTGAGTTGATCCATCAAGTAAAACAGATGTTTGAAAGTTTGAAAGTGTTATGGGAACTATTGTATTCCTGCATTTCCAACTGCAATTCTTTCTTATTATACTGAAGAAAGAACACTTACTTGGTCTTGCTAACAAAGGACTCCTTGCTAAAATGCTGTCTGCAGAGAATTACTGAGACGCAAAACAGGGTTGTGATAACGGATAGGATGTGGGCAAGGCTCTTGTCTTCAACGAATCAACCGAGCTTTTTGAGTTCAAAAGATGTCATCGAAGCCAACAAGGAGGAAGAACCACCAACTCAGTTGTTGGATGATAACTACCCAGACAAAAAGTTGATAAATACAGACACTTAAGTACCAAGTGACATTGCACTAGTCCTATATAAGTTGCTACTGTTCTTGTTTAGGTGCCATTCACCTCAGTCCTGTTTTCCATATGCCTATAGTCTGTTGTTTTCCAATATACAAGTATAGTGTACAAGCAATATTGCTGTAGTTATTTTGCCTTCTATGAGTTCATTCCCGAAAGTAGTCGATCCCAACATAATCAGGGTAGGGCTTAGTTGAGTTGAGTACGTGGGAAGGCAGCCTACTAATATTGTTAAATCTTTATGCTGAGAGACTGTGGATGTAATAACACTATCAAAGGAAGCAATAAATTTGCAAGCATTCGTTGCAAAATTTGAATCATGCAATGCCCTTATGTTTAGGCAGTTGTAGTTCCTTCCAGGTGTGACAGAAAGAACAAAGGGGCAGATGTATTTTTCTATTGGGATGATTATGAAGGCATTTTGTTATTATGAGTCCAAATTTGATCAACACACTTCATTTGTTACCATCTATATCTACGATTGGGAGTGACAATCTTTACCCGCCATCTATTTAATGCGCCACTATATTTACAAGTCAGATAACTTATTTGTTAACCAGTTATTTCTCGTACCTTAAAGTACAAAATAATAAAAAAAATGGTCAACAACAAATATTTGTATTCACATTCGAAACTAAATCATAAACATAGAGGAGAAAAAAAATAATTTAAGGTTGTAATGGGTGTTAGCGGTTGTAGTGGTGGTGGTGGAAAACGATGATGGTTGTGGTGGATGACGATGATTGTGGTTGTGATGACAACGATGATAGTGGTGGTGGGTTTTGGGTGATAATTGTAGTAATGACAGTCATGAGTAACGGTAAAGGGGGTGGGGACGGCGGTGATAGTGGTTGACAATGGTAGTGATGGGAAGATAACGATGATGGTGGCAATGATAGGTTGCAGTAGTGAGCAGTGAAGATAATGGTGGTGGATGACGACGAATGTTTCTAGGTGACAGTGTGATGAGTGGTAGCGAATGATGACGATGGTGGGAATGGGTGAAAGTGGGTGGCAGCAGTGGTGGACGATGGGTAATAGTAGTAAGTGTGGTGGAAGTGGATGACAATGGCCGGTTGCGATGGTGGGCGATAACGGGTGGTGGTGGTTGGTACTGACGGTAGGTGTTGGTGGTAGTAGAATAATGGTGGTAGTAATAATAAATATAAGAATGAGATGACGGTGGTTGGTGGCGGTGAACAATGGTGGTAACAATCGGTGGTGACGGTGGTGGCAGTGGAGTGGTGATGGTGGCAATAGTGCTAGTAGAATGGTAGTAGTGATGATGGTCGTTGGGGGTGGTGGTTGTAAAAGTGATGGTGATGGTGGTAGTAATGGTGGGGTGATGTTGGTGGTTATTGTGAAAGAGGTGGTGGGGGAGTGGTGACAATAATGGTGGTTGTTGTGGTAGAGGGTGACGGTGGTGGTGGTGCGATGGAGGTTAGGGTGAGGGTAGTTGTGGTAGAGGTATAGCGGTGGTGGTGGTAGTGGTGATGGTGGTGGGGCAGTGGGGGTGGTGAGATGGTTTTAAATACAATTTTTTTAAAAATACTTATGAAATATTATAAATTCTAAAAGTACTTTTAAAAAGTCATCCAAACACACTTTTGAGAGCTTATTTTTTTTTATTAAATTTAAAGTGTTAATATTAATCGTCAGATTAATTTTAAAGTAAAATATAAATAGATTTCAACCGTGAAAAGTAAAAGTTATTTTGTTTATTTTTTAATATTTAAATTATATTATATTTTATTTTACAGATGTTAACGGGTTGGATAATATCAATAGAATTAAATCAATAATTGACACGGATAACCTTCGGCTCATGAACGGAAAAAGGCTATGGATTGTATACAGTTTCAACCATGGGAGTTTTGAAGTGAAAGTCAGCATGAATTTGACAAATATTTGGGATAGATTCAATTTCATTTTTAGAAGTTAAAAAGAAAAGCAATATTACATTCGACTTTGTTTCAATTATATTTTCTTTTTAATTCGTTTTGAAATACTTTTCTAACATGCATTGTCATGACATTTACTTGAATTTAATACCGAAATTTTTTATGAATGATGATTTTTGATAGAAAATGAATCTAAATTTGAATTTTTCTCAAACAATCACATTAAAAAATGAAGAATAAACTTGTAGGAGTAGGTTTAGTGATTGAATAAAGAGCAAGATATAAACCTATAAATTTTAGTTCCAGTTTTCATATCATCGTAAATTTGAAGTTAATAGAATTTGAAGTTAATAGAAACATGCGATTCTAAAATTTACATCGTAATTAGGAGTCCAAAATATTTTGCTTGAAATATTATTCGTAAGTTTGATAATTGAATAAATTGAGTCTAAAAAATTGTTCAAGTTTGAATTGAGCTCAAATAGCTCGATTATTTTTTATATAAATGAGTCAAATTTTACGAACTTGAATTGAATTTTAACGAATTTAAAAAATTATTCGAATTCGACTAATTTAGAAAATGGGCTCTATACAAGTTGAATCTGACTAAATCCGAGTAGGTTGACTCGATTACCAGTCCCGACAACATTTATCTCCCAAAAACACCTGAAAAATAAATAAAAGTTAAAAAGACTTGGGGTATCAATGACATTCCAGAAACTATAAAGGGCTTTTTTCTGATATTTCATATTTTATGCACCCTTGCTTAACTCCTTTACCTACCAGCTGAATCCTCTCTCTCTCTCTCTCTCTCTCTCTCTCTCTCTCACACACACACACACACACACACACACATAGAATTGGTTGATCGGGAATGGGAATCAGATTCATATTGATGGTGAACAAGCAAGGGCAGACCCGTCTTGCCCAATACTATGAATACCTCACTCTCGAAGAAAGACGAGCCCTTGAAGGCGAAATCGTCCGCAAATGCCTCGCTCGTAACGAACAACAGGTCTTACAATCTCTCTCTCTCTCCCTCCCCCCTCTCTCTTTCTCCGTCATTATACGTACACTTTTATGGATGTGCAATTGTGTTTGTGTTTCGTGATTACTATGGCGAGTTAATGGGCTTATTCACCCTAAATTACTCATCGGCAGATTGTATTAAGTCGCTGATCGCCTATTCGAATCCTGTTATTAGAATTATCAGTCCCAGATTACCCTTCAGCGGATTGTGTAAATATGCTAATTAATCATTCAAAGACTTTTTCGTAGATCTTTGCCCCTGAATGTGATTTGATGGAAATTGTTTCAAATGCCATGCTTCTTTAATTGATCCGATTTTGAGGTTTCCCTCCAGAAACTGTTTAAATTAACCATTTTGCTGATTCGTGAGCTTTTATTCAAGTGTTAGTAAGCAAGCTTATATGCGTTGCAGCTTTGGCTGTCTTTTTTGCGGATTACTTATGTGAGTATGGAAGAACACTTACATCTTGTACATTGAGAGAGACCCAGAATTATACAGAAATTGAATGATTGTCTTGTCAAGTTAGGCAACCTTTGGATCAAATAATTTATAGTTGTGAACCAGTTGCCTAGTGAAGCTTTCGAAGAGGTTTTGCTTCTTATAAGTTATATATCCGGAGATGGCTCCTAGAAACTAGTTATTTAGGTAGTTTCCATGCTTCATTTGTCTTGATTATCCATAACAATAATGTGTCTCTATGTTTGAATCCTGCTTTATGTATATGTTCTTTTAGTTTAAATATTTTGGACTTAATTGTTGTACTATTTGCTTTTTAATCACTTGAGAATTATACATTTCTATAATTTTTAAGCATTTGTGTCTTTGTGAACCTACACTTATGTTTTGTTTGATATCTATCTCAGCAAGCATGTATATAACAGTGTGATTTTCTGTATTTGGGAACAGTGTTCATTTGTCGAGCATCGGAACTACAAAATTGTATACAGGCGATATGCTTCATTGTTCTTTTTGGTTGGAGTTGACAATGAAGAAGTTAGTTGTGCTCTCTCTTTCACATTTATGAACTGGTGCTTGTTTGTCAAAAAGTTAAACTTTTATATGTCTTATATATCTGATTACGGATGCATTATATTGGATATGCAAAAGGATATGTAATTTAGGTAGCATCTAAAGTGAGTGGTCCTCGCTTTCCAATCCCAAACTATCTATGCCGGTCAATTAGCTAGATAGTAATATTCGTTCTCTATATCGGGATTGTGTTTCACATATGTATGCTGTTGTGATTTAGCATTTTTCATCTGTAGAAACGAAGAGACTGGGAAATTTTGAAAGTTGGTAAAAAAAAATCTCAAGTTTAATTATGTGGTGTGACATATCGAAGGTAGCTTTTTTTAAATTTGAAATTTGAATCAAGACCTTGATTCATAGACAAACTAGAACTAAAGAGCNATTATGTGGTGTGACATATCGAAGGTAGCTTTTTTTAAATTTGAAATTTGAATCAAGACCTTGATTCATAGACAAACTAGAACTAAAGAGCTCAGAAATGTCTTTTGACAAATGGAAAATGATACTTGATGTCTTCTTCTGGAATATGACTGGTTATATTCAACATCGACTATCCCAAGTTTAGGATAATTTCCACCAGCTATGCAAACACCATCTCAGGCAGTGTTCTATATTGAAGTTGTCTCTGTTTCAAGGACTTTGCAGTTGATGCTTGTATGTCGGTCTCGGAGCTGACATCCTATTAGGGTCTTTACTACAGAGCTTGGTGCTCATCATACTAGGTTATATGTATACACCTAAGATGTCCATGCTTCGGCATGGTGCTTGTTATTTTCCTTACCACCCCAGAGAATTCTAAACTATTTTTTTATTTCCCACTTTCTGTCTTATTTAAACCATATCACCCACCTTCAAGCTTTCCAAATGCTATCAACCCGGTAATCAGGCTTTTATGTTGAGCATCAGATGAGAAGTGGCGTGTTTATTTGTTCCCAATGAGTATGGATATCAAAAAATAACTAGTAGAAACTGTATGTGTTAGCTTTTGATTGGAAAAACCTGCTGCTTCTGTTAAGTTTGCTTATCTTGTTGCCAGTCACCATATAAAATAAGTTTCTTTTTTTGAAAGAATTTCATTGTTTTTCCTTGTTTTCCATTTGGCAGAATGAGCTTGCAATTTTGGAATTCATACATCTGGTAGTTGAAACAATGGACCGCCATTTTGGCAACGTTGTAAGTACATTCCCATCTGTTTTGTTAAAAAAATTCTGACACATTTAAGAGTTACCCCTGCTTCCACCCATTTCTGGTCTTTCTTTTTGGGTTTCTTTCTCATAGATCCATGTTTCTATGACATGGTAGTTTTCTGGGTTTATCTGATTTGCTATAATCTTGCCTTTGCAGTGTGAGCTGGACATCATGTTCCATCTGGAGAAAGCACACTTTATGCTGGAGGAAATGGTCATGAATGGGTGCATTGTTGAGACAAGCAAGTCTAACATTCTGACTCCGATACAACTGTTGGACAAAGCATCTTAGGGAGTTGAGTCCGTTGCTACTTTTACAATGCCAAGCTATTCCTTTTTCTGAGACTCAACTACATACCATACATGTTGTTATAGTGGCCTTCTGGACAACGAGTTAAGCATGCGCATAGTTTTAATTGAAATGAAGGTACTAAAAGCTATATAATTGATTACGATTTTTCATTTAGGTGATTCAACATTTGCATTCGACAGTGTTCTCAATGCATCCAGAAGAAATTGGCGTCATTGTTAGTTCTGTTGTGGTAGAGACATTGTTTCAACACAAACCTGAAATATTATCAAAGCAAAGACGATTTGCAGTAATGCTGGTATTGCAGTGGATCTAACTTCTCTGAGTACCTGTTCAATTCTCTCGCCAGGTTGAAGAGTCTTGTCCTTTTGGAATCTTGAACCTTATTGAGGTGAGTTCTAGCAACAAGTATAAATAGGATTTGTACTGCTTTGCAGTGGCTTTTTTGTGTTCTTTTTAATCTTCCTCGGTCACTTTCTCTAACGAAGGCCTTAAAACTAACCAAAGCTACTCTGTGCTCGTTTAGAAACTCGTTCAAAAGTGAGTCATTAGATAGACAAATCAAACTCTAATATATTGTAATCTTGGTGAATTTATGAACTTGGCTCAATAAACAAGTGGTATGCTATGTACAAAATTGAGCTATTTGTGCCTGGCTCGATTAGAAGCTCAATAGACATCAACCTATAAGAAACGAATGAAGTTTGAGTATCTGTTAAGTCTTGCGTTATCTAATGTGATGTCCCTGCTTTACCCAGGATTAGGGCTGCATAAAAAATAGAGACTAAACATGAAGGAGACACAAACCATCATCACTGGCTGTGTTAAAAATGAACACTAAATAAAACCCGCGGCATACTTTTGGTAAAATGTTTTTTTTTCCCCTAAAATTTCTAATATTCCTGTATATGAACACAAGAAAGCCATTCATAGACCATATAAATTAGTACAACCTTACCCCCATAGCAATAATATACATAGATCGGGATATTTTCTTCTTGTACATCATCCTCACAATTCAACAAGCAGGAACGAGATCTTTCCCTGGCGTATAGCAACTGGAAAAAATTTACAGACTACAGTATCAGAGCCGCAGGCCTCCCATCTTTCCTAGGATCACTAACGGCAGTAAGTGTTCCTCGGAATACCTCGTCTTTACCCACTTTCCCATTTTTCCGGCCCATATCAATCAGATTTTGAAGGTTTTGAACAAGAAGCTGGCAGATAGCTCCCCCTGCTCTAGCCTCCGGTTGATGACCCCTCTCTTCCAAGAACTGTTTTTTCTTGTTGGAGAGCTCTATATGCTCACCATCAAACACGGTCCAGTTCTCGTACGTAACCACATTAGGTATAAGCTGCACAGAATTGAGATTGAATTAACACAAGGTTTATCATATAAAATATGAATAGGTTCTCAACCAAGCCACAAACCTCGTGGTAGACTCTTGGACTCTGAACAGCAGCTAAAGGTTCCATTCCAAAGATAAAATGGTTGAGAAAAACCTGGACCACTGCTGGAATTATGTATAAACCACCACTACCGCCAATGACCCCAACCAATTGATCATCCTGTGCACAAACAACGCATTAAGAACGGGCTACTTTTGAATTTTGGGAATCAAGTATAGGACAGAATAATAATCTTTTCAGTTGTGGGATTGGGATAAAACTATTTATTGTCCTCAAAAAACTTTCCTGTACCTTGAGAACAATGATAGGCGTCATGGAAGATAAGGGTCTCTTGTTTGGTTCGATAAAATTAGTTGGAGCAGGAGGGAGTTGATCAGGAGATAGTTCTGTTGGTGTTGAGAAGTCACCCATTTCATTGTTGAGCACAATACCAGTGGAAGAAGAGAGCACCCAGCTCCAAAATCATAGTTTACAGTGGTTGTCATTGATACAGCATTTCGATTTGCATCCACAACACATAAATGGCTGGTTCCATGATCTCTAAGCTGACTCCACCTTCAAATTAAGGACTAAAAGCTTTAAATTCATGACCATTAGGTATAACACTAGCACAATATAGAGCAATTTTCAGGCAATCGTCACCTGTACATATAGTATTCAGGAGGAAAAGTGGTGTCGTCGAATATCTTCTGATGAAGTTTCTTGGCAAAACGAGGGGAAAACATGTCAGACATGGTCTTACTAATATTTACAAAGTCGGGGTCACCCAGGTTCATCCGGACAGCAAATATAAATTTTAATGCTTCAATTAAGCGATGTAAACCCTGAGATCCCTTCGCAGATTGGGAACTCCCATAGCTATCCAAGATGTTTAGAACCTGTATTTCACCAATGTGCATTAGTACAGTTAAACAAGAGCGGATGCAGTCTGTCAAACTGCAGCATATAAGACCCGAAGAATACCATATTCAATTACTCTGATCATCTGATTTTGCGGTCACGTTTTGCATCAGCTGCAGCAGTATTCCATTCATTAGATGGGTTAATAAGTCATCTATCTGACCCGTATTAGCAACACACGTTACAGTTCAGTCATACTAGGTCACTCCCATTATAGACACAGTGATAGAATAAACCAGTGAGATCTACCAGCAAGCTCTACCAGAGTGTGAGTGATGAGGATGTATGCACAATGTCAAGAGCTGAAATTGTTTGTATTGAAGTGCTAATCAGTTCAAAAAATGTGAGAACACCCACCAGAGAAAGCCCAAGTAATCCACTTGATGGAGGTGGCATTCCTAATATGGTGTAGCCGAGCACGTTCATGGAGTCTCCATCCATAACATCCACTTTGTAATTCCTCAAGTCTTCCATTGTCAAAATTCCACCTGCCTCTCTCACATCCTCAACTAGATTTTTCCCAATCGTTCCNGTCTCCATCCATAACATCCACTTTGTAATTCCTCAAGTCTTCCATAGTCAAAATTCCACCTGCCTCTCTCACATCCTCAACTAGATTTTTCCCAATCGTTCCATTGTAGAAGGCTTGTGGCCCTTGTTCTGCTACTGTCTCTAAGCTGAGGCCAAGTTCCAAACTATAGCATATATCACCAGCTCGTAGCAATTTCCCATTTGGTGCATATACTTGCTGTAAGCAGCGGTCAGCCATTATTTTGTTTGCGGAATGACCTATGGCTGATTCGAGATATAGAGAAACCACAAATCCCTCTTTAGCAAGTTTAATTGCTGGTTGGAATAAAGTCCTCCAAGGCAATTGCCCATGTTTCAACCATGCTTCATGAAGGCCAGCTAGCTCACGGGGAACTCCAATTGACAGTGCTCCATCGTACTTGGCATCAGGATTGTTCTCATACATGTTCTGTTGATTGACAATAACATCATTATTTGACAGCAAACAAGACTCAAATAAACTCAATATCACATTTTGTAAAGGTAAATTTCAAAGGGTTTACGATAGGAACCTAGACCAATAAGCCAAAAGTCTCAAGACTGATGGAAATCATCCAGTCTGGGTCCTTTTACTTAGATCGTAACATACCACTGCACTTCCATGACGGCCAATTCTATTGATGCTGTTTGAAAACGTGGCTCTTTCTCACAAATGCTAGTGTCCATAGGTCACCCCTTCTGTCAGCCGAATTTGGTCTGGAGGTGGTCATGATACCAACTACAGAAACCCGGACCAATACGTCAAAAGCCTCAAGAATGAGGGACTGCATCAAGTTTTATAACAAACGCTCTTGTGCAAAGTCGTTGGTAAAGATTTGATCCTTCTGGTCTTTTTATCAAGTGAGTTTTCGGTAGATTTATTATTGGACCCATTGAATTATAGGTCCAACCGGACCATGGTTACTTATCTTAGAAACTATTTCTCTGAAAGAGAGTGTGTTAGGAACCTGTGAAGCAGCTAAGGGAGCTGTTTCCCTCATGTCAAATGCTTAGGTAGTTGATGATGAAGAAGATCGAACAATCATGAAAGATCCACCTCCAATGCCATTTGCAGATGGATTGACAACGCCAAGGCACAGCGTGGTTGCCACAGCAGCATCAACAGCATGACCACCTTGGCTAAGCATCGACACACCAATTTCAGAGCAACGGCCATCATCCAAAGCAACCACCGCTTGCTCTGATTGAACAATGTCAGCATCTTCAAACTGCAACTTCCCATCATGCTTATTTTCATCTCTGACCACCCAGACACTTGAGCTGCCTCCTAATGTAAGGCAGACTACTGAAATGTAAATAACATGACCAATCTTAGGTGAAATAAATTCCCAGACATACAACATTGGAAAACTACCCAAAATTCACTAAAAACAGTAAGCATATATAGATAGACCGAAAAATTAGCTATTTCATTCCAGCAAAAAATGAATAGAAAAGAATTTAATGAACTCCACATGGAAGAATTAGACTTGGACATTTCCCATAAAATTACATGGAGTTCATATGCAGGGATCAGGCAAATCTTCCACAAAATCGATTAGTTTCAGAAAGAGTAAATTGTCACACGCTTGATGATTGGTTATCGATACAATTTACAGGGAGGGACACAAGTCAGGTAAATTATGTACTCATTTCACACTGGGACTGGGAGGAAAACTGCAACGAACAGTATCCGCTTACCTAGAGTCCTTGTAAATTTCAGAAAATCACTGTATAATTTATCCAGAGCTAAAGTCGAGACAATATATCTTAATCAAGACAATCATCTTTAGTACTNTTGCGGAATGACCTATGGCTGATTCGAGATATAGAGAAACCACAAATCCCTCTTTAGCAAGTTTAATTGCTGGTTGGAATAAAGTCCTCCAAGGCAATTGCCCATGTTTCAACCATGCTTCATGAAGGCCAGCTAGCTCACGGGGAACTCCAATTGACAGTGCTCCATCGTACTTGGCATCAGGATTGTTCTCATACATGTTCTGTTGATTGACAATAACATCATTATTTGACAGCAAACAAGACTCAAATAAACTCAATATCACATTTTGTAAAGGTAAATTTCAAAGGGTTTACGATAGGAACCTAGACCAATAAGCCAAAAGTCTCAAGACTGATGGAAATCATCCAGTCTGGGTCCTTTTACTTAGATCGTAACATACCACTGCACTTCCATGACGGCCAATTCTATTGATGCTGTTTGAAAACGTGGCTCTTTCTCACAAATGCTAGTGTCCATAGGTCACCCCTTCTGACAGCCGAATTTGGTCTGGAGGTGGTCATGATACCAACTACAGAAACCCGGACCAATACGTCAAAAGCCTCAAGAATGAGGGACTGCATCAAGTTTTATAACAAACGCTCTTGTGCAAAGTCGTTGGTAAAGATTTGATCCTTCTGGTCTTTTTATCAAGTGAGTTTTCGGTAGATTTATTATTGGACCCATTGAATTATAGGTCCAACCGGACCATGGTTACTTATCTTAGAAACTATTTCTCTGAAAGAGAGTGTGTTAGGAACCTGTGAAGCAGCTAAGGGAGCTGTTTCCCTCATGTCAAATGCTTAGGTAGTTGATGATGAAGAAGATCGAACAATCATGAAAGATCCACCTCCAATGCCATTTGCAGATGGATTGACAACGCCAAGGCACAGCGTGGTTGCCACAGCAGCATCAACAGCATGACCACCTTGGCTAAGCATCGACACACAAATTTCAGAGCAACGGCCATCATCCAAAGCAACCACCGCTTGCTCTGATTGAACAATGTCAGCATCTTCAAACTGCAACTTCCCATCATGCTTATTTTCATCTCTGACCACCCAGACACTTGAGCTGCCTCCTAATGTAAGGCAGACTACTGAAATGTAAATAACATGACCAATCTTAGGTGAAATAAATTCCCAGACATACAACATTGGAAAACTACCCAAAATTCACTAAAAACAGTAAGCATATATAGATAGACCGAAAAATTAGCTATTTCATTCCAGCAAAAAATGAATAGAAAAGAATTTAATGAACTCCACATGGAAGAATTAGACTTGGATATTTCCCATAAAATTACATGGAGTTCATATGCAGGGACCAGGCAAATCTTCCACAAAATCGATTAGTTTCAGAAAGAGTAAATTGTCACACGCTTGATGATTGGCTATCGATACAATTTACAGGGAGGGACACAAGTCAGGTAAATTATGTACTCATTTCACACTGAGACTGGGAGGAAAACTGCAACGAACAGTATCCGCTTACCTAGAGTCCTTGTAAATTTCAGAAAATCACTGTATAATTTATCCAGAGCTAAAGTCGAGACAATATATCTTAATCAAGACAATCATCTTTAATTCTATCTCACCAATTTATCACCTAAAATTGACACAAGACCTATTGAGTGAAATATGTAATTATAAGCAATTCAATCAATCTCGTAGAATGCTTGATCCAAGGTCTAGTGTATNAGTACTTAAAAATAAAAATTGATGATGCACAAAATGATATAAAGAAAAAATCAACCCAGACAACACATAGATATAGAGTGGTTCGGTCAGGTGACCTACTCTATTTTGAAGGTGCAACGGTAGCCGGAAGACTTTATTGATTAGATGACAGGTGAGAGAGAGAGAGAGAGAGAGAGAGGGAGTAAAAATAACGCAGGCAATATACAAATATAAAGTGGTTCGGTCACGATAAGGTAGCAGGTGAGAGAGAGTGGAAGCAAAAGTAAGCTTTAAGTGTAGAGATGTAGCTATGAGAGAGATAGTTGTGTTTGGAATGTAGAGATATGTCTCTCATGTGTAGAGGATGGATAAATTACTAGTCTTTCGGAGAGGATAGCTAAAGTTAAGGATAGGTATAATTAAAGATAGTCTTAATCTTCGAATAATTATCCTAATACGTACTCTTCATATACGCTGATCTTCTGGATCTCTTGAATTCTAAATTAGACTAAATCCATGAGCAGACATGGACTTGGTTTTGGCTTACTCCATGGATTGGGCTTGGCCCAGTTGGATCCAGCTCATCAATTTTTCATCCTTTACTTCATGATTCTTCAGAATTTCAAGTTCCACTCGTGTACTGATTCACCAATGAAGATGGGTTTTGGCATGGTAAGACTACACCATCCTAACCAGTAACCAAGGTGTCATGAATTTGTGTTACAAAAGAGCTTTTGACCCATCTCAAGGTTTTTTTAATAACATTTCCCAACTAAGGGTTGATTTAAAAATAATTCTCAAATTCAAGTACTTTTAAACACGTCATTTGGTATGACATTTTTAGACTTAAAGACGTCAGTTGATCTGACGTTTTTTGCTTAAAAATGTCAGTCCAAATAACGTCTTTATCCCAATTAGTTGACTCCTTAAAAAACATTAGTTAGACTGACGTGTATATAAGAGACTTCAGACCAACTGACGCGATTTCGTAAGAGTCAAACCAAATAACGCGTTCAAAAAGTCTCCACCACCAAGTCTTTTAACTAAAGGACACTCCACCGATTGGATAGCCTAATAGAAAAATAAATTAATATTTGTTTGGATAATTATCATAAGTGATCCCTAAATTTTTTCTCGGGTTTTAATGTAATTCATAAATTTTTAATTCTTTTAATTTAATTCATCAATTATCAATTTTATTTTAATTAAATCATTCCATTAATTTTCATCGTCAGAACAACTAGAGATTAGGTTAATTTGATTGATTTCAACATTGATCTAACGATAAAAATAAATAAAAATACTTAACTGTAATAAAATTGATAGTTGAGGGACTAAAATAAGATAAGTAAAAGTTCATAGATTAAATTAAAATTAGAGGTAAAATTCAGGACTAACTATAAAATTTTCTCCTTTTTTTTTATAAAATATGAAAAATGCATCAAATAAATATAATTTATAGTCAATTCTAATATGATCCTAAATTTTTTTACAAAAAAAACACCACCAATCCACACGCAAGTAACATGGAGTATATGACTTCGTGCATTGAACTACTCCTTTTAATTCTGTCTGACCAATTTATCACCTAAAATTGACACAAGACCTATTGAGTGAAATATCTAATTATAAGCAATTCAATCAATCTCGTAGAATGCTTGATCCAAGGTCTAGTGTATGACAATCCAAGTTTACCACCAAACTATTGATAATTTACAAGGAGAAAAATAACTTGATCATATGAACCCAACCACCCAGATAAACATAACCAGCTACCATATGGAATTCTGTACTGTCATCAGTGTAATTAGTCTTTTGAACTCTTCTCAGGTGATGACAAAAAATAAGAGCATGACATATTGGGTCGAATCAAATTGAGAGAAAAATTGCCTATTATGGTTATGATGAGATGAGTGCAAAGGGGAGCCACAGAGCTCTGCTCCATCTCTTNGGGTAATTAGTCTTTTGAACTCTTCTCAGGTGATGACAAAAAATAAGAGCATGACATATTGGGTCGAATCAAACTGAGAGAAAAATTGCCTAATATGGTTATGATGAGATGAGTGCAAAGGGGAGCCACAGAGCTCTGCTCCATCTCTTCTGGTTGGAATTCCCGCCACCAACCAAAAGCGGAGCTTCCAACCTCTGCTTCACCATCTCAGAGAGAGAGAGAGAGAGAGAGAGGACGGGTAGTTGAGGCTTTGCTGGCGAGTAGGTTGTCAGTTACAGATGAAGATTTTTTTTTTTTTTCGAACAACATTGAAGCTGACTTGGCTTTATTTTAGGGCCTTTTTTTTTTTTTTGTGAAAACAATGGGACCCACAGAGCAAAAACAGGCTTTATTTGAGGGCCTTGAATAATGGAAAATGATACACAATAATAAACAACAGTGCTTGTCAAGTTTTTATCGTAAATGATGTGACATAATCTCTATCATTAAATATTAATAAAATTTATTTATTTTATGGTAATTTTTTTTATCTTAAGTCATCTGACACAAATTTTATCATTAAAAATTAATATAACTCNGAGAGGACGGGTAGTTGAGGCTTTTCTGGCGAGTAGGTTGTCAGTTACAGATGAAATTTTTTTTTTTTTTTCGAACAACATTGAAGCTGACTTGGCTTTATTTTAGAGCCTTTTTTTTTTTTGAAAACAATGGGACCCACAGAGCAAAAACAGGCTTCATTTGAGGGCCTTGAATAATGGAAAATGATACACAATAATAAACAACAGTGCTTGTCAAGTTTTTATTGTAAATGATGTGACATAATCTCTATCATTAAATATTAATAAAATTTATTTATTTTATGGTAAATTTTTTTATCTTAAGTCATCTGACACAAATTTTATCATTAAAAATTAATATAACTCATTTATTTGATAATAAAAATTATACCACATTAGTTGGGATAAAAAATTTGATAAAAAATCTTGGTCTTTTAAACTTAAAAAGTATATTACATGAGATCTCAGATGAAGAAAAAATATTAGATGTAACAGTTACACCATGTCAATGTTGTCAAATAGTGNTTTGATAAAAAATCTTGGTCTTTTAAACTTAAAAAGTATAGTACATGAGATCTCGAATGAAGAAAAAATATTAGATGTAACAGTTACACCATGTCAATGTTGTCAAATAGTGTAACGGTCTACTAATTGATAGATAAATTAGTAAATGGGCTCCACTAAAATTCATAACCACTCAATTATGTCATGCATAATTACTTCTACGATAAGAAGTGAATTCTATTTTATTCTTTTTTTATTAGATTGTTATACCACGAATATTTTTTTTCAAAGAATATTTATATAGAGAGAAAAATAACCAGATCCAAACTCACGAATAACTCTGGGGCGAGTGCGTTGAATCCTCGATGGCCCTTTCAAAAAGAATTAGCNTGTTATACCACAAATATTTTTTTTCAAAGAATATTTATATAGAGAGAAAAATAACCAGATCCAAACTCACAAATAACTCTGGGGCGAGTGCGTTGAATCCTCGATGGCCCTTTCAAAAAGAATTAGCTGATTTCGGAACCCTAACAATGCTCAATTTTTTGGGTCCATCTATGGTACACACCTTGGGGTCAAGGTTTGGGAAGTTGGGTGATCGAAGTAAATATTTAATCCAATTATTGATATCAAGTCTTTATTGATGCGTGATATTATTAATTAAATAAAATATATTATATAAAATTAATATATCTCACTTATTTAATATTAATTATTGGATATAATTGTTAATGATAATCAATAGAATAATAGAATTTGTTGATGGTGTTTTATAATTAATATATAATATTACTTATGAGTGAAAACATAAAATCATCATTATATTCACTATTTTCACTATTTCTGATAGGTGGTAATGAAGTATGAGAATTGAATGACGATTATTTAGTAATGTTCATTCTAATGTTTGGTATATAATAATAAAAATTTATTTCTATTATTATAAAACTAGTTATTGCTTATGCCTGAAGATATGGAGTAATAAAAAAATGATTAACAATAAACAAATTTGTATTCACATCTAAAACTAAATTACAAATAAAGAGGAGAGAGAAATGAATTTAAACACCGGTTATATTGGGGGTGAGCAACGGTAATAGTGGTGGTGGAAGATAGTGATGGTTGTGTTGATTCAAATATCCTGATCATTAAATTAAAAAAAAAAATCGTATAGAGAAGTGTTTTGTTTAGCATTGTTTTATTTTTATTCCTTACCGAATTCAGAATCNTAAATTTAAACACCGGTTATATTGGGGGTGAGCAACGGTAATAGTGGTGGTGGAAGATGGTGATGGTTGTGTTGATTCAAATATCCTGATCATTAAATTAAAAAAAAAAATCGTATAGAGAAGTGTTTTGTTTAGCATTGTTTTATTTTTATTCCTTACCGAATTCAGAATCTTTCTGTGGTAAATGTGTTCCTTACTAGAATTCGGAATCTTTATGTGGGAAATGTCGAAAATGTGTGACCAAACAAAAGCAAGCCATTTCACCAACCCCAAAAATAGAAAACCCACGTTCCCCAATACATGGGAATGAGAAATCCAATATTAGTAAGATTAGAAATTTATATAATAAAATATAATATAATTTAAATTTAAAAAGATAAACAAAATAATTTTTATTTTTCACGATTGAGATCGCTTCAAATTTTACTTTAAAATTAATTCGACGGTTAATATTAATTCCTCAAAGAAATTAGGCCCACAAGGGTGTATTTAAGGTAATTTTTCAAAAGTGTTTTTACAAATT